ATCCCAGTCTCATGTTAATTTATCTACTATTACTCCCCTTTGTACAAATTATATTGGACATCATCATGCTGGACTATGTGACTATGAATCAGAATGTATCAAAGTTGTGTTCAATACCCCTAGTACTTAAGCTTTCTCCAAAAATTTCCCCTTCCTGCTTTATGATCTATAACCTTTGTGATAGCCTCACATACAAATCTTTTAGGTTTGAATGGAATTTCGTTTATCAAAACTCCCAAAGGAAACTTCTGTCATCCTGTGATGCATGATCCTGCTTTGGAGTTAATAACTTCTTTTGTGTTAAGTTATCAGTGCTATGCTTAGGCTTTCAAACCATCAACACTTTTCAACATAATTATCTCAGTGTCATATAAACTACTTTCATTTTGTGATGATTTTTTCTCTTGTCATTCAATAGTGTAATATTCGTGGCCCAAAACTGATGTTATTTTTGATCAAATTACTTCTTCATGTTCACAACCCTTGTGACAGTCTTAGTTTGATAATCTTAGGTCCCTTACAAGTTAATTATTCTTCAAGTTTTTCCGAACTATGTTCATTTTTTCATATTAAATCCTAACAAACATACAGAATTCTATTAACCAGCTTCAATCTATGTACTCAATGCTGCTCTCGTTCAAAATGACACAAGCGTAGGAATTAATTCTATTTGTTTTCCATTTTCTACTTTAAAATTTTTTATTGTGGATTTCTTTGAGAATAAATAGAATACTATGATATATTCTCCTGTTTGAAAATATGCCCATGTTGTTTTTATTCTGTTATATTAGTAACTTTCGGTCCTATCTGTTATCAAGCATCTCCTTATTACGATAGACACTAAAACTTTAGAACCTTTGTTTAATATAGTCTCACTTAGTCATTGGATTGCTTCACTTATATGTATCTTCTGATCAAAATGGTTTCTACAAAGGAAGTAGTAGCATAAACTGTATATACAGCCTTCAGGAATCTACTACCATATCTCTGGTCAATTAGGTGTTTGCTGTAGACTTTGAAGCTGCTTTTGTTATAATGTGGACTGAAAACCAGATTTGTGACATCTACTTTCATCTGTCAAACAACATTGCTAAGACAAATTTCGAGATTTACCTCTCTCCACTCACACTTAGCTTATTATTATTTGCAGGAAAGAAGATTGTGTCAACTGTCTAGAGTGGTGCCTAATGAGTGGTAAGGAATTACTCAGGTATCCACTGGAACTAAACCTCACATTATCATATCATTATTGTTTGTTTTGAATTTCGCGCAAAGCTACACGAGGGCTATCTGCGCTAGCTGTCTCTAATTTAGCTGTGTAAGACTAGAGGGAAGGCAGCTAGTCATCACCACCCACCGCCAACTCTTTTACCAACGAATAGTGGGATTGGCCATCACATTAAAACGCCCCCCACGGCTGAAAGGGCGAGCATGTTTGGTGGGACGGGGATTCGAACCCGCGACCCTCAGATTACGAGTCGAGCACCCTAACCACCTGACCATGCCGGGCCTATACCATATGATGTTAGGGCCATAGCTGTCTCTTCCAATCATCATAACATTGAGTGGAAAATGGCTGCTGCACTGCCCAATCTGATGGCTAAATCAAACTTAAAATAGATGGAGCTGTTGCATTTATGGCTTGCCATCAACTTTTTGGCATGAAGACACCTTATTAAACAACGAATGGAGTTAAAAGGTTAAAATAAAATGGATGGTAATTTTGTTCAAGGCTTGTGGCATGCATAAGATATTACATGGTGATCTATGCACAGCTATAACTCTCGATGGTGCAGAGAGACAACTTATCTGAATTACTATTTAACTAAGTCATGGCTGGGATATCGTTTGATATCATGAATGGTTAAGCACCTACATTCAAACGACTGACTGACATGGAAGCTAGTAAATAATACACCAGGAAACAATAAAAGAAACTGTATACTTTATTTAATGGTAAGGCCAAATATATTTTCTGTTTGTTTGTAGTTAAGCGCAAAGCTACACAATAGGCTATCTGTACTCTGCCCACCACGGGTATCGAAACCCGGTTTCTAGCGTTGTAAGTCCGCAGACATACCGCTGTGCCACTGGAGGGGCTCTGTTTTTTTGTGTTGAAGACAAACATATTTTGGTTTTACTGAAATTTATATAATATTTTTGCCCATCTGTTAAAATTTATGCCCGTCTAAATAGACAAATGCCTAGTTTAAGTGAAAAAAAAATCATACTCAATTATGTCTTCCCTGAAAGTGTTAAGTTTAAAAAACTGAAAATACTTCAATAGTTAATACAAACTGGCATTAGCAATAATTTAGTTAGACTGTCACAGGGGAATTTGATAAATTTATATTACAACATTAACCAGAATCATTACAAGCAGATATGAAATAAAAAGTTATATAACCTACTAGTCAAATTGAATGAAATAACATAATTCACCAATTTCTTCTAGATCACTAATATGATTGCAAAGTGGAAAAAAACTAACAGACAACTGATCTAAAGCCACTTATAAACCTCTTGTATCATTTTAGGTCTTCTTACCATAGGCATGCCATTTTCTTTACAAACAACTGTCTAAAATACCAAAGTTAAAATGAAGTTTTGAGCTTTAATGGGATTATACGGTGTTGGTGGAATTGTTCACAATGAATTACAGAGCAATTTAATCGTACTGATGATAAAAACTAATTTTATTCATGTACGAACTATTAGTTACAGATAGATATATAAGACTCACACTGACACCACGAAGTCAGATCCGAGATTATGAGATGGTAACCTTATTCAATTATATGTTCTCTTTAGTTTTTACAAAGGAAAATACAAGTACAGGGTGTTTATAAAGTCCCTATCTATTTCAGTGAAATAACTGTTTTTACTGATTGGTATTGCAGAACCCCATAAGATGAATGTGCAAGAACGTGTGATGGTGGTAACATTGCGTATTCAAGGAAAGAAATTAGAGGGAAGTTTGAAAGAAAATTTCATAAGCCAGGTCTTACAGACAAGACAATACGTGAATTGTTGAATAAATAAAAAAAACCTGGATTTTTTAATGATGAACCAAGATCTGGACGTCCACGTGTCTCAGAGCATGCTGTAAATGCAGTACGAAAGGCTATCACGGAAGAACCACGCATGTCAATTCGTGCCGCATCACCAAGACTCAGGCTGCCCAATTCAACGTTCTACAAAAATTTGACATTACAAATTTGCATAAGAAAAGTTATTACCTTCAGGTTTTACATGAAGAGGACTATCCACGGCGGAGTGCAATGTGTGCCAATCTTGTTGAACGCATTCAGAATGAAAATTTAATGGACCACATTCTCTTTAATGATTAAGCAACTTTCCATACGTGTGGAAAGGCTAACTGCCATAACTGTCGCATACCAGCTAATGAAAGACAGATTGATTTCTCCTATCAATGGGAAAGAGATACTCCTAAATGTAATTTCTAGTTGGGTTTGACTAAATCTAATATTTATGGACCGCTCTTCTTTGCTGAAGCTACAGTTACAGGGGCTATTTATCTGGACATGTTGCAACAGTTCCTAGAACCCCAGTTGGTTGGGATATTGAACATCGTCATCTTTCAGCAAGAAGGCGTATCTTGTCACTAGACAAATATTGTTCGGGAGTACCTGAATGAACGATTTCCAGATCAGTGGATCGGACGTGGAAGCAAAAGGCCCTGGGCAGCTTGATCGCCAGATTTAATTCTCTTGGATTTCATTGCATGGGAATTTATCAAATCAGACATCTATCAAACGAAGGTTAAAGATCTACAGGACTTACGTACACGCATTGTAACGGCTGTTAACAAAATAACGCATGAAATTATCTAGGATGTGTTCAGAAATGCTGCACAAAGATTTGAGCTCTGTAGAGATATTGATGTGCATACGTAGAACCTTATTCTCAAGTATTCAATAAATGTATACCTTGAATTTAACACAGATACCCGTTATTTCTCTGAAATAGATAGACTTTATTAACACCTTGTATTATGCCTCAACCAGAGCACTTAATATAAGAGAAAAATATTGATGTAAAAGTAATCATTTTAAGTCATGGAATTGTAAGAGAAAGTTGGGAAACTTCAAAATTGATAAACCCACTGGAGCAGACAACTTTTATCCTACAGTTTAAAAGAAACTTAAAGATTTTATTTGTGAACTGCTAGCAAATATTTATTACGGGTCATTGAGTAGTGGAAGAGTATTAGAAAGAATTACTGTAGATTTAGTTTACCTTGATATTCAGAAAGTGTTTGACAAGGTGCCTCACAAAATAATTTTTACAAAAATTAAATCTGTGGTTGTGAGGGAAATGTTGTTAAATTGGACAGAAAATTGGCTGGAGAGTAGTAATAAATGGAGTTAGATCTGACTGGATCACATTTATAAGCCATGTGCCTCATGACTCTGTGCTGGGTACTCTGCTGTTTGTGATTTATATTAATGATATTGACTCTGGAATGACTAACAAAATTTTAAAGTTTTCAGATGACATTAAGATTTTTGGGTTGGCTAACTGTATCAAAAATGCTGGAGACTTACAGAGAGATTTAGATCATTTGAAACATTGGGCTAATACGTAGCAGATGACGTTCTATCCAAAATGTAAGATGATGCATGTAGGTTTTCACAATTCAAATTATTGTTACAATTTAAACGGGAATTCATTAAATACTGTGGTTGAAGAAAATGATCTTGGTGTTGTGATTGAAAAATAATTTAAGTGATCTAAACAGTGTATTGTAGCTAGCAATAGGGTTTTAGGTAGCATTTATAGAAATATTTAATACAAGACCAGGGATGTTATTGCTTCACTGTATAAATTACTTGTAAGGCCTCATTTAGAGTACTGTGTACAGTTTTGGGCTCCCTTCTTTAAGAAGTACATTGAATTGTTGGAGAACGTTCAGAGAAGAGCCATTAGGATGATACCTGGGATAGTGGGATTGTCCTATGAGGAGAAACTAGGGGATTTGGTTGAAGTGTTTAAGATTATTAATGGTATTTATAATATAGATCCATCAACTTTTTTGTTTAACAGTGAAAACAATAGGACAAGGGGGCATAAGTTTAAATTTTGGCAACGTAGGAGTCATCTACAGTTTAGACAGTATTACTTTTCAAAGAGGGTAGTTGGCTTTTGGAACAAGATGCCTTCAAGGGTGGTGGAGGCATAAAATTTAAACGAGTTCAAGAAAAGATTGGATGAATACATAAGTAGTAAGGGGTGGTTATAGTTGGGAGCTGGAAGGGACATCCTTGATGGGCTAATAGGCTCTTTTTTGTCCCATTAAAAGTTTATGAAATTTATATTAGAGACTTATTATAGTGGTTTATTCTGGGTATAAGTACACATATATTTATTAAAATAATGAACTTAATACACAGACAATGTTTTGGCACCACCTTAAGTTTAGTTTTTAAAGTTTCCAACATTAGAAATCCTTCAAATTTATATTCCTTTCAAGTAGGATACAAAAATATAACTAGGCAATATAATAAGTTTTTTCTATGGAAAATTTTCAACATTTTTTCAAAATACATAATGTACCTGGTTGTACTAACTAGTTACCAATCATGGATTGAAGTTACAAACTGGTCTTTAACAAATTACAAAAACAAGATGTGTCATTTTTCATTTTAATCATTTGTTATAAAAATCTTATATTTTGACTAGAAATAAAAGCTTTACTTTTTAAAAAAAATTAACAAGGAAGAGATTCATTGGCAAGGTCACTTATAAAAAAATTATCAAAACTTATTTTCATGAAACTTTTTATGTAGTATTCAATATAGTACATTATTATATTTATGTATATATAACAAATAAGTCTTCTGAATCTAAAATCAACTTACTGGTTAAATACATACACACTTAAACTGTTCAGAGAATGTACTTGTAAACAAATATTATATAAGGCAACTTTTTATTGACTTGTAGCAGTATTTTCATTTCTCTAAAAGGCTCAAATGTAATTACTAATGTAATATTCCAAATGTCACTGAAAACTTCATTGGAAGTATAAAGTTTTTATGATTGCTCTAAATTATTACTGCATTTCTTTTTGTTATATAAATACTCTTTTAAAAATTTTATAGCTGTTCTCATCAAAAACATATATCAAAATTTTGATAACTTATTTTTCAGATCAGTTTTACTTGAAGTAAAGTAAATTCTTGTGACCAATGGATTAAAAATATGGTTCTTTGAAATGGTTCAATCTTTGAACTTTTTCTTATCTTATTCACTTTGTAAGATTAAACATTTAAAACATAGTACTATGATTTTAAAAACAGTGTTACAAAACTTCTCTGTTCTTCATATTAAATAACTTTACCAGTCATTATATTTATTCAATGTAAAACAAATATTGAACTCTTGAAAAAAACAACAACTGCTGCAACTCAACTTGCTTTACCAGATTAGAATTTACCTTCTCCTACCAAATATTCTGAACCCTTTATACGACCAGGTTCATGCAACTGTCAAAGGTTATTTTAATACTACTGTTTTTGTAAAAACATGCTAACACTGATAGTGTAAACAAAAATATCAACCCAAGAACCTAAGCTCTAGCTTGTTAAATATTAAAATATAAAAGTATGGATACAAGATACTTTTTAATATTCAGACTGAAGAATATAAGGTGACTCCTATAATGTGATATTCTATAAAAATATAAAATACAAGTACAAGTACAAAAATAATGCCACAGAAGTATGTTTGGTTTTAGATTAGCATCTTTTGTACATCTTCTTTTATAGTTAAAAAAAAAGAAAGAATATTGGCTTTTGGCACACACACAAATAGTAACTTGTTACGTAAAAATTCTACATCTATGGGTTGTATCATTATACATGCTGCTTTAATGAATATTAATATGATTAACACTCTAATGAGTAAGTATTAGAGTTCTGTGGTGTCTTCTCCTGCAATATAGCGTGCAAGCAGGAAGTCTGCTGCATGTTGAACATTCCAATTACAATGAATTAGTGTTTGCTTGAAATCTTCTACTTCAAGGTTGTGGATGTTTACTGTGCACTGAAGTTGCAAAACCTTCACAGCTTTGTGCACATCCCAATCTGTCTCTTTGAGTGCTATAACACATTCCTCTGGTGTAACATTCTGTTAAACAAACAAAAAAAATATGATACTAATAATCAAATTCTTTGATTTTCTTTCATACTTCTATTTAGGGTAAAAATTATAACTAGATTTCAAAAACTATGGAACACCTGCAGTTTTATCAGGTGTGGTCTCCTCAGGTTCACTGATTTCCTTTCCAGTAATCAGACAGGAACCTTTAGGTTTAACATAAAACGTATTTCAGGAGTAACTTTGAATTCTCTGACTCTGACTGAACTTGAAGCAAAGAAAGAGACTGGATACAATGTAAAATACAGTTTTTACTCAATACAAGATGAAAAAGACAGCACCTTTAATGGATAGTTAACCATCTAAGCTCTGCTAAGAACTTGTTAACCCTATGTGCACAGATAGGGGTCAAAGTGTGCATGCCATGAACAAAAAGAGTGCCATTCAACATGGCATTATTTATTTGATGTCATAGTTATCAACTATTCATGTCACCATACACTGCTGATTTAGTGGCAATTCATAGTAAAAGAGAGTAAATAACAGCTACATTATACAGGGATGCTAAAAAAACTGGGCGTAATTTTCAACCTCAATCATTTCACTATTTTGTTTGTTTTTTTTTCCAAAAGCTTTATTTCGTGTTTGCAAATTTCTAAAATTGATTTTCTTAAATTTCATACTTAAATCCAATAAAATTTATCCTGAATCATTTCTGTAGAAAAAAATATTATTTTCATATGAATTAATGTTTTTTCAGCTTCCCCAGTGGTTTGAGAAATAGGTCCATTTGTTTAAATGAAACACACTTATGATACAAATTAAAATACCAGTATTAATTGTAGTTTGAAGAATATGTAGAAGTATGTCATTGCAGCATCACCTTCTATTAGTTCATATGTCATTACAATACATTATTGTAAATCATTTCTTTTATTCATTAATCCAAAGTATTTCCAGTGTTAAATGTATTTTCATTCCTTTCAGACAGAATAAAAAAACAAACATATAAATTAAAGATTTTTTGTTATTATTTAATAGATTACCAGAAAATTATGAATAAAATATTCTTTGTTTAGAGTTTACAGATTTTATACACAATATGTAACTTTAAATTTCATAATCTATTTTTACAAATACAGAGGATATTGTTGCATCATCGAGATCACGTGACAATTCTCACGCTCTCTTGTTTCTAGAACTATCCCGTATCTTGGCGAATGGTCTAGTATTTACTAGTAGGGTAGGCTGGTATATATAAGAGGGGAAGGTAATGTGTGTGTAGACAGTGAGTAATTGAACTGCAGTCACAGGGTATTGTTGAAGTTAACGTTCGTTCGTGATACTGTTTGTTTTAGCACGAATATTGAGATTAAGTGTATCGCAGAGTTATATTCGGAAAGAATAAACCAGTTTTATTAAGAAAGGACTTGTGTCGCTTAAGTTTCGCCGGAACGAAGTTACAGAAAATCAATTAACAAACGGAGACGTAACAATATGAAGTCATTCATAGTACCTGCAACTAATGTCCTATGTAACATTTTCTTATGGAAACCTTTTAAGGGAAACACTAATAATTGAGAAGATTGTGATATCTAAATACACAGACTATGACAGACATTAAAACTCATTATATCTTTCATACTTCTAGCAATTACTGTTTAAAAAGAATATGCTTCTCTTGAGGTAAGTTTAAGGCCCTTTTCTTTTTGCCAGATATTGTAATACAATGAGCAATACAGTGAAACAAAGTTTCAAAATACAGACACCAAAATTTAGTGAACATTACAAATGAGCCTCGTTATGTCACTTCATTTTACCATGTCCAGTCATGTTCTATCTAATGAATGGCATCTTGACAATAGCCTTACAATGTAGTTGCAAAATACTCTGTTGTGAGGCTGTCATATTAAAAGCACACCACTTATTCCTTCAGGTTTTCCATAATTTGTATATTGTAAGAGGGAAATAGTTTCCAAGCTACTATTTCAACAGTCTAATCACAGAGAAATCCATCAGAGCTACATCTGTCAATTAGACAACATGTCTGCAACATGAATACTCCTTTCATTCTCCAGCTACTTCAGGTAAGGGATGATTGAAAAAAAAAGTATGACTGAAAGCTTTATCTTGGTAAATCTATACCCTGTTCATTTAGTTTCCAGACAATTATCCTTCTTGATTATGTTGCATACTGTTGCTTGGAGACATGTGGATGGCTTTTGCCACTGACTTTTGTGTTTATGGATTTTCATCTATCACAAGATACCACACTTTGCTCACCATACTTGGGGTATGACTTGTTGCAAGTCTCTGTCTGAATGGTTCCAATCCCCCAAGTTGATACATATTTCTTTGTTTTCCAATGTCATTAAGTACAATGGATATCTAGTTTTGGAAAATCTAAATCCCTGATCTGAGAGTAAAAATATTTTGAGTTAGAAAGGGTGTTATATAGCCTTCCGAAAAGTAATCAATTATTGGTGGCATTATACTACTTATGAAATGCCAAATGTTGTCAAAATGTAGTTCCAAAAATGCCTTATACCATGGTTTGATATTGGCTGTGACTTGCTGATTTTCATTCAAAATCATTATACTATAATTAACCCTTTGAAATATACTGTCATAAGCCTAACATATATAATGATGTAACATAATTTGATGTAGTAGGAAAACACATACACACAAACAAAACTGAAGAGTCTGTGTCACTCAGTAAATATGTAGGTATATTCTTTACTAAAGGAGAAAAACTGTCAGTGTTGTTTTCACTATGACAGAAGCAGTACCTGATTTATGGGGGATGCAACCCATGCAATTGCATATATAGTGTATAATAATTGAAAAGTGACTGTATTTTACAAAATACAAATCCACTAAAACATAGTTAAGACAGGTCACTTTGTAAAGACTAAAGGTCAGTTTTATATTATTGGATACAATAATATGAGTGCACATGTGCCACGCCATTGTAACTTCTGTATTTTTAGTCAGGCATGACTGGAAGGTCAATATAATAAAAATAATAAATATATATAAAGTTATAATGTTATGAGATTTAAGCTATTTAGACTAAACAATTTGTTTTTGTTTTATAATTTGTAGTCATTCTAGAACAAAAAAAAGCATAATTTATATCTATTTCCTACTTTTTTATGGTCGTTACGAGGTCAGTCAAATTGATAAACCTTGTATAGTTAGGGTAGAAAAAATATAAAGTTTTACTGAAAACGAACATTTCAAATGAATTTTGAAGGTTTTAGAGATTACACAAATAATATTTGAGATTTTTTGGGATGAAGAATAGTTTTTAACCATGACATGAAAATCTCTTCACACTTGCACGAGTAACAAAACAGACTCGATATTTTCACAAACAAATCTTTAGTACAAACACTTCATTAAAAAATCTTAATTTTTGTGTACAAAAGACTTGGAATCATTACTAAAAGTCTACCACATTTTGTGAAGATACACATATAGCATTAAAATTTATAGTATATATATATATACTTAACATGTGCAAATGTGTATATGAACTTGTGTATTTTATACCGAGCCTGTTGCGAAAAGGTTAAGCGATGATCCCAACAACCATCTCAGCATTCTCATTTGTGCTCTTATCAACAAGCCTTCTTTCTTCTTCAGGATCTAGGTCTCTGCTCAATAGAGGAACACTGGTTTAATAACGGTCTTATACACTTTGGCATTCAGTGCCCTTGGTAACCTTTTGTCACAGATGACTATGGCTACTTCCTTCCATTTCATCCAACCCACCTGGATTCTATCTCTCACAGTTTTCTCATTTCCTCCTTCACTTTGGATTGTACTCCCCAAGTATCTAAGGTCTTTTACCTGTTACAATGGCTTCTTGTTTACATCCTTCTTCTTCCAAACCTCTTCCACTCACCATGACTTCCATTTTTCTGGCATTCATTTTCATGCCTCTTCCCATTCTTCATTTTATATCTTCCACTCACTATGAGTACTGTTTTTGACATACAGCAGGGGACTAATGGCTGACCCTTGGTGCATCCCAATGTTTACTTCAAACTTGTCTGCTTCTCCGTACACCATCTTCATGATTGTTGTTGCTCCTTCATAGGTGGCTCTCACTACTCTGATCAGCTTTTTTGGGTGCTCTATTCTTTCGAAGGCACCAGTACCACCCTGTCATATGCTTTTTCTGAGACTACAAATGCATGGTGTAACTTCTTGTTTCCTTCAAGGTATTTCACTTGCAACTGTTGCATAATGAAGGTTGCATCTACTGTTCCTCTTCCAGGCAAAAACCCAAACTGAATTTTGGCAATGTCTCTGATTTCCATTATTCTCTTTTCCAGTACTTTTTCTTTCACTTTCAGCAGATGTTACACCAGTTTTATTCTTCAATAGTTTTTACACTCAAGAGCTTCTCCTTTCTCCTTGTAGATGGGTATCAGTAGTCTCTCTCCATTCTGGGAGTATCCATTCTTCCCTCTACGTGTTCTTCAACAGGGTCCCATACATACTCAATTCCATCATCTCCTGGTGCCTTTACAGCCTAAATTACAATCTTTTATGGACCTCCCATCTTGCCTATCTTTGTTTTTCTGGTTGCGTCTTCGACCTCTCTTCTACTGATGCCATGCTGTGGTGTCTCCTTCAATTCTTCTGCCTGATTTTTGGTTTTTAAGTAGTAGTTCCTCATAGTACTGTTTCCACCTCTGTTTTACTGCATTTCCATCTGTCAGTAGTTTCCTTTCTTTGTACTTAATTACTTTGATCACTACGATGTCTCTCTTTGTCATTTCCCTTTGCTTGGCTATTTTGTATATCTTCTTCTCCCTTTCTAGTGCCTCCATGTTGTCATAACAATTTTTAATGCTCTCTTTGGCTCCTTTTTTTACACCATTCTTGAAGAGTCATCATCCTTTTTTTATCTGCTATTATTTGAAGGCTTCTTTCTTTAATGGTTTACTGTAATTTTCTGCTCCACCACCATGCTTCTTACTGTTTGGGTTCTCATCCCTTTGTTTTGCCTCTTAAATCAGGACATTCCAGTAGCTGTCTACATGTCCGACAATCTTTTGGACCTCCTGCATCTTTTCTTTCATTGCTTCTCTGTATTTCTCTTCTTTTTCTCCTTCTAGCTTCCACACCTTAATATTCTCAATTCCTTTCTTCTCGTTCCTCTCATTCTCCATAATCATTATCAACACACTATATTGATGTGCTATGTTGCTTCTCCTTGTATTACCTTTACATCCAACACCTTTTTCCTATCCCTCCTTTGAACTAAAATGCAGTCAATGTGCATCTTATTCTTGTCACTCTTGTATATGATGAGGTGCTCTTCTCTCTTTTAAAACCTGGTGCTTGTTAGGAGCAAATCCATACCCTCTTCCATTTCTACCAAACTCATTCCTTTCACATTTCTTATTCCATAGCTCTTCCAGGTGAGAATGGTCCAATAGATGAAAGACAGAAAGAAGGGAGAGAAGTATAGTGTACCTCCTAAGCAGTTGAAGTCCAATGAGAAAAGGATCAGTTCAAAAAGAGATAAATGAGGTGGGAGATGGCACAAGAAGCATTCAAAGACATTGGAACAATGGTAATCATAGAAGAGAAGTAAGAGGAAACAAGTCATGAGAGAAAGATGGTCAACATCTCAAATGGGGCTTGTACAATAAGTTGCAAAACCTCATTAAAGTCTCAGTACGCCAAAGAAATTTGGAAGGAGGACTGAGGAAAATGAAGGAGAAGATCACAATAGAAGAATAACCTCTTAGTACTGAAAAAGAAGGGCCATGAACAGGATCACGAAATAACTAGAAAAGGTTGAGACCAAGAATGCATTGATGAATAGTAAGGTAATAAAGGCAGAAAGGTGATGCACAGAATTACTGTCAGGAGGGAAGAGTGGCAGAAGGACAAATTACAAAAGACTTGCCACAGATAGTGACAGACAAGTACAGTGAAATGACGATAAAAATGTGACAAAAATAATGCTACATTAGTAGAACGTCCAGCCCAATATGGGACAGATTGGGCAAATTCCGTGCATAAGGTTGGAGGGAGGATATCCTTCTATGAAGAAAGGATGTGTGAGAGTTAGAAACAAAAAAAGGGAGG